AGCATCTTTCAGTTTTCTTTTCATATGACAGTTTATGAAATCTTTACAAGCAAAATTCAAGCTTAGAAGCAGGAATGAGTTGATAAGACCTACATGTAATATGATTTGAGCACAAATATTGTTTGTGAATTTGTCAGATTTTGAGTGACTTTAGATAACTTCTACCTGTCCACAACAATGTTACAACGATTGTGTCAGAGGTAGCTTAAAATAGTGAACCTGTACATTATAGAGCTCCAAACAGATGACGACCCAGAGTGGCGGGGCATGTCTCGTTAGTAGAAGTTGATGTTAAATAGCAGGCCTGAAGTAGGATATGGTTGTCATTGTCAGCAGTGAGCATGTTCAACACAGATCATACTTATGTGGATTGTACATTCCAGTTAGCAGTCTATATCAGTTTTCTGGTCTGAGAGGACACTTTTTTCAGACCTTAGTTTCTTTATTCATCTGGGCTACCAAGTTCCTCAAGGGTAAGGTATTCACAGTGCTGTATGAGAAGTGCTACCAGAAGGAGATTTAGTAACATATTTTCAGTGTTTTCTGTTACAGTGGTAATAATGCTGCAAATCAACTTTGTGTACCTATTTGTGGTGTTGTCTTAACAATCCAAAGATGTTCATCGAGGATTTTCCAAACCACATAGAGGTATTATGTTACACGGTAGAGATAATAAATACAAACAACAACATTAATCTGAGGTTTATTCCTTTTGATTGTATTTCAGGGGAGATAACAAAAGTAAATACAGAACATTAACTGGTAGCTGTGATTCAGGCCTAAAATCAGAGGACTAAGCAGGAGACAGTACTGATATATGGCCTAGTCTATTGTCTATCAGTTAAGTTACAACATCACACAGAAATAGTGCCTAAAAAATCATAAGATAGATGGTACTGCATCAGATGTAATTGAAATAAGCTCACATCTTCTTTTTGCCGAGGGTACTGTAGAGAAATGTGGCGCGATGTTTACTGATAACAAATCCAGCATTCATCAACACTGTCTATATAAAAGCTACAAAGGTCCCAGTGTTACAGCTAACCCCCCCGTCTTGTATAGGTATAATAGACTTACACAAGTCCCAGTTTTAGAGCTAATCTCCTGTCTTGTATAGGTGTAATAGACTTACAAAAGTCCCAGTATTAAAGCTAAGCCCCTGTCAATTGCATATGTATAATACAAAAGTCCCAGTATTAGAGCTAAGCACCTGTCTTGTATAGGTATAGTAGACTTACAAAAGTCCCAGTATTAGAGCTAAGCCCTTGTCTTGTATAGGTATAGTAGACTTACACAAGTCCCAGTGTTAGAGCTAACCCTCTGTCTTGTATAGGTATAATAGACTTACACAAGTCCCAGTATTAGAGCTAAGCACCTGTCTTGTATAGGTATAGTAGACTTACAAAAGTCCCAGTGTTAGAGCTAAGCCCCTGTCTTGTATAGATATAGTAGACTTACACAAGTCTCAATGTTAGAGCTAAACCCCTGTCTTGTATAAGTATAGTAGACTTACACAAGTCCCAGTGTTAGGGCTAAGCACCTGTCTTGTATAGGTATAGAAGACTGACAAAATCCCAGTGATAAACCTTAGACCCAGTCTGTAGCTGTATAGTAAAATTACAAAAGTTCTAATGTTATGTCAGCCCCTCTAGAAGCATTGAGTAGCCTATCAGATTTAGACAGTCAAACAGTGTTGGCCAGTTTATGGATGGTTCTGGTTGCAGAAGTGTAAGATGTTGACTGGTCCAGACTCAGATATATTGGATCCAATTTCATTTTGTATCTTACATTGACTATTTGCACAACACAAAATGTCCAATCAAAAATAATCTACAAACTGTGGATATCAATACTTTGCGAACACTACACATGTGTTCAAATAACTTAGACCATGTTTCATAAATTAGATGCGAAACTGCTGCTTTCTAGCTCTGCATGAGTTCTCATTTTCACTGTGTCTATAAGCCGTATCACTTGGGAGCAATGATGGATTAAGTTAAATAAATTTGGTATGGTGTCATCATATCATTGATGACAAATTATGTATTATGTTATAATCGCTCTCGATCAGGGTAGGGATTAACTACGATGCCTACCCACATACAACAGGTATCCTTCTTGGATGTACTGCTTCATGTGACATTGGAGGTCAGAATAGGAGGTTAGCAGGTACAGTTCTTAGGGAAATGACCTAACAGAGATATTTTGTAGATGGGAAACCATTGAGACTTGCTGTGTAAAACATAATTTGGGATTGACCATGATACAATCATATATATTGGTATTATACATCACAGTTCAAACTGATTTATATCACTGAATCCACACAACTACCAAAATTGTCTTTGCTCTCAGACATCAATAATAATATCATCAACTTGGACTGAAATCTCACATTTACAATAACAGCCTGTGATGAGACATTTATGAAGCTATATATAGATAAGGGAATAATCATCAAATAACTCGTTAAGGCTTCACAGAATCCTGTGAAAAAAAGACAGGGACAGTTATGTACTTAACAATATTTCTCACATTAGTGAACAAGATTCTTTAACATCTTGATCACCTTTATGTCAGGTCTGCTGTATGTTTCCATGATCAAAGGCTTTATTTGTCTCCAAAGGTTAAAACAATTCCACCCTAGAGTGAGATATTAGAAAAGCAAAATGTGCCAGAGAATTGTTCATTCTTTTCTTTGAAGTAAATTGGTATATAACAGTTCTGAAATAGAAATTAAGTACAAACATGTCTTCAAACTATACTGATTATGTTTTTATATAAAAGTAAAGGTGACTTGGACAAGAACTAAACAGACTGACTTCCTTAATGGAACATTTTATTGTTGAGGAGCTTTTCAGTAAATGTCATCTCAAAACAAAAATTGGCAAAAAAAATCATTTCCACATTGTCAAAGCTTGGGAATCACATGGCAACAGTGTTAAACATTGATTGTTAGGCATAGAATAGCTATTCTAGATAGGTCTGTATATTGTTGTAAGGGTATGTGTATATCAGGCCTGACATTATCTTTGTTGAGTTTGGTGGTAAAATTTCCCTTAATGACCATCTTGTTCCGAAGTTTGAAGTTTGAACATGGCTTGGTCAGGTTAATTGGATTACAACATCACATAAGAAACAGAAGGACATACCTAGTTGATGTTACTGTACTGGAGACTGTCGTTATTAGTATCTTATGACACAGTCATGGTGTTTTTGATCCTCTATCCAACACCACGTATTTTCTTATGTATCAATTGGTTGTTCATGCTTGAAAATAAATATTTCAAGTTTTCCGATTACATATCAAATATTCATTGCAAATTTCAATATTAACTGGACTCTGCCTAATTTGTTGTTTAATGGCTGCATATGATTGGTCCAACAAGCTTGCCCTAACATCAAGATGCCCATGTATGAAGGTAATGATGTGATCTAGAACACATTGTATTTTGGATTCTGAAGTTAATAAAAGTATGACCATGTTCATGTTATATAATTAACAATGATTAGTACCTTATATCAGAATAAATTGTAACCTGGAATTTGAAATTGTTTTTAAAACTTCATATTTTTCTCTCAAAATGTCCAAATTCCTTAATATAAAGCTGACAATAATTTCTTGCGTACATGTTTTGGCTTTTAATGATTTCTGAGAAAGTGCTGACATGACACAACACTACCAGAGAAGCACTTTCTATAATGTTGTACATAAGACATACTGCCCTTTGTGAAGGTACAAATCAAATCTATCAGTGTATGTCCTCCTGATGTTTGCCATTACTGGCAGATTTGGAACAGAAAATTCTGACGTTTAGACAGAAAACAAGTTGATGGGATCTATTTCGAACAGAATATGCTAAGGTCAGATGGAGTGGAGAAACAATAATAATTCCTAGATCACCATCAGACAAAGTTTACGGGGTGAAAGTCGTATAATGTGCTAAATCTATTAGCAAGTTCCCTTGTTTGTAGTTTCACTACAATGCAGCAATGCTGCCTTAAAGAGCAAGGAGTGTTGCACATCCCCAAACTTCATTATAATGAGAATGCTTTGTGCCCTTTACAAAGGGGTAATAATCTAGGATTACAGTGACTAGTGTTGACAAAACAGATGTCAATACAAATGTTTCTTGTTCATTCTGTAATTGACAAGTGTACATACAGTAAACAATGATTGATTCCTTGTTTGTATGTAGACAGCAAAGTTATTGATACATAAAGTTTTCTTACTTCTGCTGATAGGTGTTCGATGCAAGTCTGTAGAAGTGAGAACATATTCCTTGTAGACCTAACAAGATCCTAATGTTTTACACTAGTAACTTATGTTCATTCTGAAACATGAGTATGTGGAAATACAGTTACTGCTGTAAATTTATTCACACACAGCTAATCGTTTGGAACTAAGTGGTCTAATTTTGTATATACCAGCTGTATTGTCACACATGTATGGTGTGACAATTACAGGACAGCTGAGGCGCACAGTGCATTTCCTGTCCATACGGGTCGATAGGCTCCAATATTGAACTGATTTGAAAGCATTTTGTATTGGCAAAGTCTTAAGTACATGCTGCCATTGTGTAAAAGCATAGGGTTGTTTATAGAAACCTTAAAGTTTGACAGAAATTTGAAAAGACAAATACTTCTGCCATCAGATATGGTAATGAATTATGACGAGAATAGAAAACAGTATTGATTAGTGAAGCCATGTTTGTGATACAGATGTTGACTTATCAGATTTATGGTGTCTAATCTTCATATTGTTTCATCTTCATTGGTGCAGGTGCCAGGTTCTGAGCCAGTACTAGATTATGAAGCCCCAGTTTAAATCTCAAGGAAATTGGTTGCGAAAAATTAATTTTGATCCATATCAATGGAGAACTTGATTTGATGATTTGTGTCTTTGAAACTCATAATTACTCTCCCACAGTTATTGACCAGTAGAATTGTGTACTATACAGAATCTTTTGGTATAGATATTGATTTCTGACTGTTTACAGACTCTGGGCGGAGATATTCCGGGTACAGGGAGATGGAGAAGGTATGCGATGGAAGCGAGTTTCCGAGGATGTGGTGCCGATTAACATATCATGTGTAGAGGACAACCCGGACACTGTGTTCCAGGTGACTGCCTACAATAGGCATGTGGAGAAGATCTTTGATGTCAAGATCGTGCAGCCAGGTGAGTGAGACTACCTCAGACAGTAAACGGTTACCTGTAATTAATAATTATCAGTATTATGTACATGTGAATCTTATGATGACTGGGGCAGGTAAATGGTTACCTGTAATTTAATTATCAGTATTATGTACATGTGAATCTTATGATGACTGGGGCAGGTAAATGGTTACCTGTAATTTAATTATCAGTATTATGTACATGTGTAGCTTACGATGACGGAGACAGGTAAATGGTTACCTGTAATTTAATAATCAGTATTGTGTCCATGTGTAGCTAATGATGACTGGGACAGGTAAATGGTTACCTGTCATCTATAAATATCAGTGTTACAGTATGACAGCAAGATCAGATCTGTTTACATGTGCACTTGTAACCTACCTGTTAATATAGAGATCAGGGTCACGGTATAAACACTATGAAAACATTTTATCATTCCTCTCACTGCTAATCATTGTAACAATTTGTTATAGAAATAACTTTTGGTGGTAAAGTTTTTAGGCCATCTTGAACCTTTTGTGTGTTTCCATGTGTTGTCTCTTAACTTATTGTCAGCTTCTTCTGTGAAACTGCTGTGCGAATTCAATCAAACTTAGTCACTAGTTCAAATATCTGAAGTGGTATCAAAATTGCAAACTAATTGGTCCCCATCCTCTTGAGGCCCAAGGGGCAGCCTGGGCCAAAGCAGTTAAAAACCATAACATTTTATAAACTCTTATTATCTAATTACAGTATGTTCTTTATCAACAACTTTTCATATTTTCAGCTTCTTTTTGAATATGCTTGGTTGATAGAAACCAAACTTTGTCACTAGTATCAGTACCTAGAGGGGTATCAAAATTACAAAAGTAGTGAAATAACATGTTATTTTCATTTTTTTTTTCATGCTACTCGAAAATTTTCAGGGCAACATATCGTTGCCACCTTGTCCATCCATCCTTTCATGTCTGGATCATAACTTTGCCCATAGTTAAGCAAGGGTCATAAAACTTGGTGTGTACATTGGTCATATGAAGACAAGGTACAATGTACATATATTCATGTTAAAATTTAGTGTGTGGAGCATTACTTTGCCTGCTTTTAAACTTGGATACTGAGAGAGAAGATGTATACATCAGTCATACAAAAGCAAGGTTTGGTCTAGCAAGGTCAGGGCTCATGACCCCTCATTAAAGAGTTATTGCCCTTTGTTAAATCATGTGTCATGAGCTTAGCTTTGCTTGCATTAAAACTAGGAACATGAGACTTGGTATATAAATTGGTGATACTAAGAGAATGTGCTGTATACTAAATTCAGGACCTGTAACCCCTTAATTACAGAATTATTGCCCTTTGGTAAAATTTTGTGCCCAATGAAGATGTTTTCGAGTAACATTCATCAGCTTCACTCATACTCTTGTTTTCTGCTTGGAGACAAGACTGAAATAGGTTATAATAAAGAGTAGCAGTCGCAAAATTGCAAAATTCTTGGTCTCTGGATGAACTGTTTAGCCTTCTAGTGATTGGGCAGCTTTTAGACAGAGCAAAAATACTTAAACAGAAAACACTTGAAATTATCAATGTTTTGTATAGGCATATATGCATTTGAAATGTTATTCTTAATGTCACACAAACCCTTTAAACAGTCCTCTCAGTGTCACACAAACCCTTTAAACATTCCCCTTAATGTCACACAAACCCTTTAAACATTCCCCTTAATGTCACACAAACCCTTTAAACATTCCCCTTAATGTCACACAAACCCTTTAAACATTCCCCTTAATGTCACACAAACCCTTTAAACATTCCCCTTAATGTCACACAAACCCTTTAAACATTCCCCTCAATGTCACACAAACCCTTTAAACATTCCCCTCATTGTCACACAAACCCTTTAAACATTCCCCTCAGTGTCACACAAACCCTTTAAACATTCCTCTCAGTGTCACACAAACCCTTTAAACATTCCCCTCAGTGTCACACAAACCCTTTAAACATTCCCCTCAATGTCACACAAACCCTTTAAACATTCCCCTCAATGTCACACAAACCCTTTAAACATTCCCCTCAATGTCACACAAACCCTTTAAACATTCCCCTCAATGTCACACAAACCCTTTAAACAGTCCTCTCAATGTCACACAAACCCTTTAAACATTCCTCTCAGTGTCACACAAACCCTTTAAACATTCCTCTCAGTGTCACACAAACCCTTTAAACATTCCTCTCAGTGTCACACAAACCCTTTAAACATTCCTGTCAGTGTCACACAAACCCTTTAAACATTCCTCTCAGTGTCACACAAACCCTTTAAACATTCCTCTCAGTGTCACACAAACCCTTTAAACATTCCTCTCAATGTCACACAAACCCTTTAAACATTCCTCTCAGTGTCACACAAACCCTTTAAACATTCCTCTCAGTGTCACACAAACCCTTTAAACATTCCTCTCAGTGTCACACAAACCCTTTAAACATTCCTCTCAGTGTCACACAAACCCTTTAAACATTCCTCTCAGTGTCACACAAACCCTTTAAACATTCCTCTCAGTGTCACACAAACCCTTTAAACATTCCTCTCAGTGTCACACAAACCCTTTAAACATTCCTGTCAGTGTCACACAAACCCTTTAAACATTCCCCTTAATGTCACACAAACCCTTTAAACATTCCTGTCAGTGTCACACAAACCCTTTAAACATTCCTGTCAGTGTCACACAAACCCTTTAAACATTCCTCTCAGTGTCACACAAACCCTTTAAACATTCCCCTCATTGTCACACAAACCCTTTAAACATTCCTCTCAGTGTCACACAAACCCTTTAAACATTCCTCTCAGTGTCACACAAACCCTTTAAACATTCCTCTCAGTGTCACACAAACCCTTTAAACATTCCTCTCACACACAACCCTTTAAACATTCCTGTCAGTGTCACACAAACCCTTTAAACATTCCCCTCAATGTCACACAAACCCTTTAAACAGTCCTCTCAGTGTCACACAAACCCTTTAAACATTCCCTCTGTCACACAAACCCTTGTCACACAAACCCTTTAAACATTCCTCTCAATGTCACACAAACCCTTTAAACATTCCCCTAAATGTCACACAAACCCTTTAAACATTCCACTCAGTGTCACACAAACCCTCTCAGTGTCACACAAACCCTTTAAACATTCCTCTCAGTGTCACACAAACCCTTTAAACATTCCTCTCAGTGTCACACAAACCCTTTAAACATTCCTCTCAGTGTCACACAAACCCTTTAAACCTTTACACAAACCCTTTAAACATTCCTCTCAGTGTCACACAAACCCTTTAAACATTCCTCTCAGTGTCACACAAACCCTTTAAACATTCCTGTCAGTGTCACACAAACCCTTTAAACATTCCTCTCAGTGTCACACAAACCCTTTAAACATTCAGTGTCACACAAACCCTTTAAACATTCCTCTCAGTGTCACACAAACCCTTTAAACATTCCTCTCAGTGTCACACAAACCCTTTAAACATTCCTCTCAGTGTCACACAAACCCTTTAAACATTCCTCTCAGTGTCACACAAACCCTTTAAACATTCCTCTCAGTGTCACACAAACCCTTTAAACATTCCCCTCAATGTCACACAAACCCTTTAAACATTCCTCTCAGTGTCACACAAACCCTTTAAACATTCCTTCCTCAGTGTCACACAAACCCTTTAAACATTCCTCTCAGTGTCACACAAACCCTTTACACATTCCTCTCAGTGTCACACAAACCCTTTATACATTCCTCTCAGTGTCACACAAACCCTTTAAACATTCCTCTCAGTGTCACACAAACCCTTTAAACATTCCTCTCAGTGTCACACAAACCCTTTAAACATTCCTCTCAGTGTCACACAAACCCTTTAAACATTCCTCTCAGTGTCACACAAACCCTTTAAACATTCCTCTCAGTGTCACACAAACCCTTTAAACATTCCTCTCAGTGTCACACAAACCCTTTAAACATTCCTCTCAGTGTCACACAAACCCTTTAAACATTCCTCTCAGTGTCACACAAACCCTTTAAACATTCCTCTCAGTGTCACACAAACCCTTTAAACATTCCTCTCAGTGTCACACAAACCCTTTAAACATTCCCCTCAATGTCACACAAACCCTTTAAACATTCCTCTCAGTGTCACACAAACCCTTTAAACATTCCTCTCAGTGTCACACAAACCCTTTAAACATTCCTCTCAGTGTCACACAAACCCTTTAAACATTCCTCTCAGTGTCACACAAACCCTTTAAACATTCCTCTCAGTGTCACACAAACCCTTTAAACATTCACACAAACTTTAAACATGTCACACAAACCCTTTAAACATTCCTCTCAGTGTCACACAAACCCTTTAAACATTCCTCTCAGTGTCACACAAACCCTTTAAACATTCCCCTCAGTGTCACACAAACCCTTTAAACATTCCTCTCAGTGTCACACAAACCCTTTAAACATTCCTCTCAGTGTCACACAAACCCTTTAAACATTCCTCTCAGTGTCACACAAACCCTTTAAACATTCCTCTCAGTGTCACACAAACCCTTTAAACATTCCTCTCAGTGTCACACAAACCCTTTAAACATTCCTCTCAGTGTCACACAAACCCTTTAAACATTCCTCTCAGTGTCACACAAACCCTTTAAACATTCCTCTCAGTGTCACACAAACCCTTTAAACATTCCTGTCAGTGTCACACAAACCCTTTAAACATTCCTCTCAGTGTCACACAAACCCTTTAAACATTCCCCTCAGTGTCACACAAACCCTTTAAACATTCCTCTCAGTGTCACACAAACCCTTTAAACATTCCTCTCAGTGTCACACAAACCCTTTAAACATTCCTCTCAGTGTCACACAAACCCTTTAAACATTCCTCTCAATGTCACACAAACCCTTTAAACATTCCTCTCAGTGTCACACAAACCCTTTAAACATTCCTCTCAGTGTCACACAAACCCTTTAAACATTCCTCTCAGTGTCACACAAACCCTTTAA